CTCTGACTTTGCGCCTACGCCGAGACGGAAAATCGCGTTCTAACCACGGGAAGTAAAATAAAGGACCCTCAGCCGCGTGCTTACCAACCTCGCCTTCGGCTCGGCTGGTAATTGCACTGGCGGCTGAGGATCCTTTATTTTCCCTCCCTAGGTTAGAAATATACTATAGGAATTTTTGAGGTTAGAAATGAGGAACTTAGCAAAATATGTTCTCATTTGTTCTACTCCTCCTTCTTAATTCCACAAAGCATGGGACTTTCTGTAGACTCAATAAATATTTGAAATCTCCATTACAAATTTTTAGGTTAAAATGAGAGAAATCACGAAATCCACTCTTACCTAAATTTTAGTCATGAACCCGTGGAAATTCATTTCTGTTTGTTCTACTCCTTCTCCTCATTCCCCAAATGCACGAGACCAATGATAAATATTTGAGATGGCCATCCTCAATTTTGCGGTTAGGCGAAGAAGACTCGCAAAAATCGTTTAAAAGGTGAATCCTAATGTATTCCTCCAAAAATACGCGTAGGGCCTCTATTTGCCATATCCCTTATTGTTATTTGCCAAATGCCCGAAAAATCATGAATGCCAATGTCAAATATTGGTTATCCATTACGCCTTTCTGAGCCAAGAGATAAGACAAATGGCGAAATTTATCTCAAATGATACTTCATTTATTTATCCTTCAATATCCGGCGTTCACAATTTAAAAATAATTACCCATGTAGGCACGGAATAACGTTATATATAACAACTAAGTGCAAATTGGTTTAATATATTGTAATACGCAATTTGCATGCAAAAAAAAATTGGCGCATTAAATCTTAACCTGATAATTCACTCTATCCTCGTTTCGCGCAAACATATCAAAAAGGATACACACATACACTGAATGGTTTACAAGGTGTGCAACATTGTATCATCTCCCGGCGTCTGTTATTGAAACTGACTCGTACGATAATTTGCATATTGTATACGACCTAAAACGACCAATTCAACCGGTGCGCGATTATGTATGATCCAAGAATCGATTCTACCTCATGTAGAGTTGGCTCGAATGTTACCGCCTTCACTTCTCCAAATGGGTACTTCATCGTACTTATACGTATTCCCCCTTTCGCATCTTATTATCGTTCAACGATCGTTATACAGCGAATCAATGGTAATTGAATTGATACCAACTATTGGACATAGAGAAATCATTCTCATGCATGGTGATAAAGATTAAGTTTTTATTTCCATTATCGGGCCGAGGAGATGAAATTATACGATAAAATGTGATATCAATGTGAGGATCGGTGAAGGCATTCTTTTTTTGCGTCAACGACCCGCGCAACTGTCGACAGTTTGACAGTTGATCAACTCCTGCGGGGGTATCTTATCTCCGGGTTTGGTGGAGGAAGGGGAAGTGAGGAAGCTTGTGTCGAAAATCGACAAGAAAACTGCTATCAGTTGTTGTGCGGACATCACGGTGTCTGATGTGTCTAGTTGTGGAGACAGCTTCGTTAAGTGATTATGAATCTTTGCGGGAGGGTAGGGGTCTGTGAAGAGAAGAATTAGGAGCTTTTTCATGGATCCAGACCAGCATTCGTGATTTCTGAACTATTGTAGTCGAATTCGAATGTTCAGCAAGAGTGCGGATGACGGAAATCAGACGTCAACTTCAGAGAGATTAGATTAGAAACTTCAAGGGGAAAAGAATAATAGATCTTCGCCGAGATGCGCTCAATCTTTGTCACGTTCATCTACAACCACTCTAGGCATAGCGAATGTGATATCTGAAGGTAACATAAGCCGATGCTTCAGAGTGCTTCAGTAACGTCCAGGAATCTCCTACAAGATTAGTAAATGACTTTTTGAATTAATTCAGGCATCATTAGAAGCTGTTTTAATTGCTATATCAGATGTTAATTCATGTATTCAAGAAGAGAAATTATTAGATCGGCGGTATTGTGATGCCAAATTCATTGACAATCGTCCAAATGATAACGACTGATGCTTCAGTAACACCTAAGCACATACTCAAAAATTTGACACTAGGTTTGAGCAAGTGTTTCACTTTAATTGATGAGTCTTCTCTAAAATCCAATAGACTTGAAAATGAAAAGAGGCAGATCTTCACATAGGAATATCAAAGAATGAAAATTGTTTAGAGTCACCTGAAACACAACGAACTTGATATATCCAAATATTCAAATTATGAGCAGGTACTTTAGAGATTGGCCTCAGCTTCAACCAAGTGATCAACCGAAATTGAAGAATTCTCTCCAAGGTCAATAAATGATTATTTGAAACGATCCTTATATCATAATCAATCCCTTCGTCGATCATCCGCAAACGGAAACTTAGGGTAATTACTGTACCAAATGCTGCTTCAAGAGACGAAGGTACTTCAGAGAAGAATAAAGAATATTAGGTGAAGGGTTTCAAGCGAGTGCGAATCATAAGGACTTTGATGTTTTAATAAACTACAAACTCATTCTTCAAGATTTGGCACTAGATTTGGGCAAGTGCTTCAATTCAATCGATAAACTCTTTCCAATATTACTAAAGGACTCGGAAAACTACGAAAGAAGGTCTTTTAGTGGACTTGATGCGAGGAGTTCAGGACAGTGTAAAAAAGTAAATTTTCATCTAGAAACATGGTAGATTATCAAATTTACCTAGGCAGTCGCCTCAATCCTGATGAAATTGACGTATCCAAGCAAAATATGAGGGGATAGTTCAAACTTTGAACTTTGAGTGAAGAATCACTTCAACATTTCAGAATAACTCCGAAATACTCTCTCCATCATAAAACGTCCTTTCGTCAATCATCCGGAATCAGGGAGTTACCACTATATCAGGTGTTGGCCCACATATTCAAGACAAGGTTGATTTGGAGGAGAATGAAGTACATTGCACTTTAAATAAATTTAAAAATTGAGGGAATCCAATAAGAAAAAAATTTCTTTATTTAAGTATATTAGATCATAAAAATTATTTACAGCTGTTTGAATCAGAATTAGGATGGCTTGTTGACGTTCTATTTTTTTTATCGTTATTTTACCTCGCTTCGACCCGGTTAGGGTATACTGCGATGATGATCAAGACTTTAAATGGTTAGATCGCACCATTCTACCCGGCCGGGATTTGAACTCGGAACCTTTCGTATGTGAGGCAACGAACTTACCCACTGCGCCAAGCCACCGTGCTCAAGATGTAGAACATGAATACATTTCTGAAATTAGGACATTAGTTTCAACAAAGTGCTTGCCCAAATTTAAAAAATCCCTTCCGACGTCCCCGGCTGACTCTTTAAAAGAATCCCCAAGGGAAATAGGTTCTTTCGTCAATCATCCTAAATCAGAAAACTTGGAGTATTGCAGACGAAGATGATTCGGAGGAAACTCAAGTATGTTGGCCCTCAAATAAACTCAGTAGATGTGTCATATCCAAATAAATCATGAACACGTAATTCAAACTGGAGGATTATTTTTAACAAACAGTTTCCTCAAAACTAAAGACTGTCTTCTCCACGGAAATAAACTCTTTCGTCAATAATCCTAAATCAGAAAAGTTGAAGTATCCAAGGCGAAGACAATTCATCGCAGACTGAAGTCCATTAGCCCTTGAATAAAATAAGAAGACATATTCAACTAAACCATGAACACATAATTTAAATTTGAGGATTAGTCTCAACAAAGTGCATCCCTAAATCTAAAGAATGCCTTCCAACATCACTGATTGACTCTATAAACCAATCTCCAATGAAAATCAGTTCCTTCGTCAATCACCCTAACTCAGGAAACTTGAAGTATCCCAGACGAAGGCAATTCACCGCAGACTAAACTACATTGGCCCTCAAATAAAATAAAAAGCCGTCATATTCAACTAAGCCATGAACACATAATTCAGACTCGAGGATTAGTTTCTTCAGACTGTTTCCCCAAACTAAAGAGTGCCCTCCAACACCACCGAATGCCCTTTAAAACAATCCCCCATCACCCCGGTCCCTTCGCCGATCATCCACAATCAGGAGCCTCGTAATCACCCCACCAGAAGCTTCCAACCCCTTCAGCCTCTTCAACACCATCAGCCATCATCACCAATCAAGCACCTACTAATCAGCCACCATTCCCCCAGAGCCCACCGTCCAGGGTTAGAATCCCCCGAAAAAGCCCCCAGCACACTCTATCACCTTCAAATCCCTGATAATCCTCGGCCACCTGTTCCTCAGTTTTTACCTGGGGTCCATCCGCGATCCATCGCCACGCCCTCGAACCAATCAACTCTCGCCCTCGGGCCTGACGTCATCGATATCCAACCGGTAGGGTACTGAACCTGGGGTAGGGGAACATCGCCCGAGACCTGCTCGCACTGCAGCATTAAACGGGGACCACGAGGCGGGTGAATTTTTTGTTCAAGACCCCAAGGAGTGGGGATCCAGCAATCTCCATCTCACTCACTCACCTAGGACCCACTGGCTCCCCAGCTACGGGATAAACTTGGCCTGTTGCAAGTGTGAGTTACACCGAAACCTCGAGAGAGTCGTTCCTCTTTCACTCCTTGTAATTTTCATTCGCACGTCAAAAAGACCACGTTGCAGTGTCCACTGTCCGGTGATACGTCAACTCTTGGGATTTTACAACATTTTACTGTTGCCCCTCAAACCGGTGAAGTGTCAACTGTTCCTTATCACTTAACGATTAAAAAATATGATTTTGCGATTGATTTACCTTGAGATTGTGTAATGTTTTTGAAGTGAATCAATGTGACGAAAGGAGTTTTAATTTCGAGTGATTGATTCAATTGATTATTTGTCAATGTAATTGCGGGGGGTGGATTGGGGGCTTTGGGTGACAGCAGGGAATAAGTGAAGTTATTTTCAAGTGTTAACCACCAGGGTGTGATGCCCTGGTTATGGTTAAAAGTGAGTGAGGCTAGTGGAAAGAGGTGGTGGTGGTATTATCGTCGCACGTCAGTGGGATTGATTGGTTTGATAGTACCCACGTGATATTATGGTGGAATTAGGTGGCAATGCGAGATCGGTCTCGTACCTGCAGAAAATACGTAACAATGATAATTATCAAAGATGCAGAACTAGAAGGAGATATCCACCGAGGATTCTTATTGTTGTTGTTCTTGTACTTTGGTTACCGGCGTTAGAGATACCGGGTGTTTTAGCCTGTGGACCTGGTAGGGGTGGTGGTAGGCGGCCAATACTGCGCAAACTCACCCCATTAGTTTTCAAACAGCATGTGCCAAATGTCAGTGAGAATACACTGCCAGCTAGTGGATTGCCGGAGGGACGGGTATCGAGGGATCATACGAGATTTCGAGATCTTGTGCCCAATTACAATGCTGATATCATTTTCAAGGATGAGGAGGGCACTGGGGCTGACAGGCTCATGACTCAGGTAAAAAGTTTTTTTTGTCTTTCGAGGGATTTACTCGGGCGGGGGACAAATTGTCTCGCCGAGGTTTATACGCATCGTTAACGTTTTATTCATTCTGCATTTATTGGTGTTTATACAACAGTTTGCACCTTCGCTCGGTTAAATGGCTACCGACGTCGCACCGGCGCTTTTGTGGATTGAAGATTCGTGGGTGGAGGGATGACGGGTTATGTCGGCGGAGTTTGTAATTTATTTTTTTGAGGGGGCAGTGGGAAGGAGGTTCGGGAATTTTTGGAGAGGTACTGTGCACAGTGCACGGGAACGGGTGACATTTGGTGGATTGCTGAACATTTTTAGGAGTGACGATGAATTTTGTTCAGGGGAGATGTAATCGAATTCGGGAATCTATTTAAATTTTTAATCAAAACATGATTAATGGGAAAATTAGTTGAGTTTTCCTGAAAAATGTGAATAGCACCAAGTTATGACGAATTTTCGATTAATTGGAAATTTAGGAGTATATTTACTTGAATTTTGATGATTACTATCAATTTGAATAGAATAATTCAACTGAAATTTATGTTTTTCATTGGTTTTTAAATGAAATTCTAAATTTTTAATTATGAAATTGCTTGAAATTTTAGTGGTACATGATGTATTTGAACGACATTTGAATTTGAAGCGTACCGGCGCTTTTGTGGATTGAAGATTCGTGGGTGGAGGGATGACAGGTCATGTCGGCGGGCTTTGTAGTTTTTTTTTCGGGAGGGATTGGAAATGGCGATTCTGGAATTTTTGGAGAGATACACTGTCAGAGAACGGTTGACATTTCGTGGACTGTTGGCTAGAAATATTCAGGAGTGATATTGAAGTTCATTCAGGAGAAAAAAAATTAAAGTCAGAATTTCATCAAAATCATTTTTTTAATTTGTAATCAAAAGATGATTAATGATTGAAAATTGGTGCGTTGTCATTAAACACATGAATATTTAGTGAAATTCAGGTATGTTCAGTTGAATTATTCTGATTCCTATCAATTTAAATGGAATAATTCAACTGAAATTCACATTTTCCAGTGATTTTTTAACAAAATTTTGAATTTTCAAGTGCGAAATTCATTGAAATTTCAGTGGAAGATAACGTACGAGAACGACGTCGTACCGGCGTTTCCGCGGATGGAAGGTTCGTGGCTGAAGGGATGACGGGTTATGTCGGGAGAGTTTGCAATTCATTTTTTTCGAGGGGAATTACCAAGGGAGGTTTTGGAATTTTTGAAAAGATACATTTTTGAAAAACTACACTGACATAATCCAAAAAATGAAAAAAAAAATCATAGACTGTCAACACTCAAAAATAGCAGAAAGCTAGAAATTCCCAGGACTACATTGAAATTGATTCAGGAGGAAAAAATTATGAAATTCTAAATTTTTGAGCAACGAAAAGACGAGATTTTCCCAACTTGAATTTTAAATTAAAATAAATATTTAGAAGCAACTTGCGCAGAATTTTTAATTAAGAGAAAATTTAGGAATGTATTTACTTCGTTTTTCCGAATTACTACCAATTTTCATGGAACAGTTGAACAGAAATTTACAGTTTCCATTAATTTTTTCATACAATTTTGAAATTTCAATAGCGAAATTCCTTGGAATTTCAGTGGAACTATAATGCGATAACAATTTTCAAAAAATATAACAATGTGGAACATTTTTAACAGTTTTTGGAGAATAATAGTGTAGACTTCGTTTGATCTTTTCCGTACTGACATTAAGTTTGATTTGGGGGCAAAAAATAATAAAATTCTAGCTTTCTGAACCACAGGAGGCAAGATTTCCCCAACTCAATTGAATTTTTCAAACAAAAAATGGATATTTAGTAACAAATTTACTGAATTTTCAATAAATTAAACATTCAGAAATATATTCACCGGAATTTTCATGATTACTATCAATTTTTGTAGAATAATTTAACTAAAATTTACATTTTCCCTTGATTTTTTCCTGAACTTTTGAATTTTCAATGACGAAATCCTTGAAATTTCAGTGAAACTACAATGTAATAAGAATTCCCAAAAATTAACCGGAAATTTCAACCGAAATTTCGGTTGTATTCGATCTTTTTCGTACTTCTTCCTTAGAAACTCGCAAGCTTTCGTTCATTTGCAAGAAAATGACATGACGAAGAGAAAAATGTCTCCTTTACTAAAAATCAAATCCAATTTTATCCATATATGAAGTTAAAGTGTTTGTTTCGAGGGAAATTGAGTGAGGAAGTTCATCACGCCGAATTTTCCAAAACCATCTGGAGAATTAATTCTCAACTGAAGCCTCTGACCGTCGGTTCAACACAAAGATCCCCATTCTCCCTCACTATTGACTGTTACACTCTCTTATCTCATTGTCACAACCTAACAGCGAACCTTGACCGGATGCGTTTTCACTCGTTCAAACATTGACTGAATTTTTTCTCCCCAAACCGTGAAAGAAACAGACCGAAATTTCCAAAAAAAGATAACAAAAATCCACGGAATGTTCCTTGGATCCGAAATTAGGGGAAATTAATGTGGTTAACGAAAATGAGGGAAGTAAAAACAAAAGAAAAATAAAAATAAATAAACGTGCGCGCCACCTAAGTGATTGTGGGTAGGTTTATGGCAGCCATAACCAGTGTTTGGTTTGGCGCGTTAAAGCTACGCCAATTACGGCAAATAAAACTTAATGGTTTCGTTGTCCTTTATTCTTTTTCATCATATATATATTTTTTTCCATTATTCCTGTGTCAACTCTGGCCCGAAAGCATTAATGGCAAATGCAGTAACGATTGAGAACTCCAAAAAACGTAATTAAATATTGCAACAGGGAATTTCAGTGCATTCCATTTCATCAAATTAAGCCCGTAAGAAGAATGTGAAAAAAATTGTTTGAAACTCTGAGAATTTCGCTGTATTTTCCGAGATCTCGGTAGAGCCTTCGGCCGTCGGTTATCGTCACCGTGTATACATTTCTCAAGTGCCTCCTGCCAGCAATAAACTTTGAAAACAGGTGTGGGCTTCATACTGAAATCAATTTCAAGCAAGACTCTCTCCTGAAATCATGATTCCACTTGGGGATAAAATTAATTTGGAATCATTTGAAATCATTGAACTCACTGGAGTCCTGAAATTTGGAATCGTCGAAATAAAGGCGTTGGAAATCAGCGGAATTGATCGAAGTTAGTTGAGTCAAAACTAGAAATCAGTTGTGTACCACAAATATGAGAATAATTTCGCCGTCTCTGATAATTGCCAGTGCATTTCCAAAACTCGATGGAAGGATTTTTTGGAAAATTGAAACATATTTCTAGACAATTCAGTTGATGTAATGATCTCTCTGTAGAATAAGGCAAATAGTTTTCGTGAGACACGAAATTGAGAACTTTGCGGTTTTTCGTTGATTATCACGGGTGAGTAGGGCAAAATAGACCGTTTTTTATTGGCAATAACTCGGGATTGAGAGAGTGAAACAAAAGAAAAATCCATGTTATTTTCAGTAGATGAAGAATATTTGTTGAATTTAAGCAAATAGTTGTTAGACACATGCATAAACAACCACTGGTAAATTTTAAGTTGTTATTTGAGTTGTGAAATCTTAATAACTAGTTAAAATTTAGGAAACAATTGTAGATTTTGGCAAAAGCCAGTCGATGATACAGATGACACAACCAAACCGCCCTGAGAGTCAAACTTGGTAGCAAAGCGGTGAAACAGTTCAAGTCGTCTTAGTCCTTTGCTGATTTTTCAAGGAAAATGGACGAATCTAGGGGAGACACCGAAATTTTCGTAATGACCTTTTTTGTAGAGTAAATTGAGGGCCATAAAAAAGGTCATGACGAAAATTTTGCTGTCGCTCTTAGATTTCGATATATTCATTGAAAATCAATAGTCAAAATCGACTTAAACTGTTTCATCGCTTCGCTGCATCGTTCGACTTTCACCGAAATTTACAGATTGTTTATATGTTCTTACAAAAACTATTAAAGTTTAGCAAATAGTTGTTAAAAATTGATAACTGGTTGTCCCTTCATTTTTCCAACATTTTACTATTAAACTTTAACAATTAGTTGTTGAAATTCAACAAATATTTCTGACTGTGTATCGTTCGGGGAGCAAATTTGAAAAAATCTAAACCACCCGTATTACCCATTCAATATTGCACATTAAACTTCATTCATTGAGTACCAATGACTTCATTTCCTCTGAATTATCTGATTTCAAATTCTTCAAATCGTGCGAAATCAATTGCAGTGATGACAGTCATTCACGGGAAATCGACTTCATTTTGAAGCCATAGTATCACTCCACCCGACTGGAAAAAATCCCGGCAATATCTCACTATAACCACCGTCTAGCTGCAGGCTTTATTAATAGGTTACAAACCTAGCAATCACGATTCAGACCATTGAACTTCTCGTCAATGAAAACGTCAGTTCCACTCTCTAAAGTAACAAATTAAAGTTTCCTGAGGAAGACAGTGACGTTCTGAATGAAGTATCCTTATGCATGAGAATCCTCGGAATATATTAGTTGTCATCGTAAAGTTTTACGTCAATCATCGTTACAATACGAAGTGCCACTTGACTCGTTTTTTCAGAATCCGGCCTAAAGTGATACTTCACGCAGGTTAAACATTCATCATGTTTACTAATTTTGATTTCATTACTATGTGGTGGAGAGGTGCACTGGCGCACTGATTTTCCCGGGAAAAAAGTAATGAGTCAATGTTTGCGGGAGCATTTTGTAACCTGTTGAGGGTATTTTCGTCATGTACCTGGAAAATCTCGGCAGGTCAGTCATTCTTCGGGTATTTATGCATGTTTCGAGAATGGGTAATCGCTATTAGTGACGATTCGTTAAGATTTGTTTCCGAGGAAAGCATGGAGGAAATTAATTTTTTTTTATCAAGTGAATTGTTACTCATTTAAGAACAATGTTTCCTACTTGGGGACTTGATAAGATTGGGGAAGGTTGATCGAAACAAGTGGGA